GGGGATAGTACCGGTATATCTTCACTGATTAGAAGTCAGATACCCCTATCTTATCTTAGTACGACTCCATCTAATTATATGTATGATCAGCATAGATAAACATATCGACCTGCTCAAGGTACCCTCTGGGTTCAAAAAAGCCCTCAGCATCAATTTGCCGTAATCTCCGGTTACCTTGAATTTTATCCATGAGAAAGTCTGCGCCAGGTCGGCACCAGGGGACCAAGAGACCCGGAACACTTAGTAGTAATTCTGTCCTGATTCCGTACCTTCGACATGAAAAACAACTCCCGATCATATCGTAGATAGTGTTACATGAAAATAGTAGTATGCAGCGTATGAAGCTCAAAATTAATTAACTAATATAATTCTAACCATTTGTCACTATTCTATTACCTTAAAGGGTGGTAGGGGGTCATTTAAATGGTCCTCTGATCCTCTTTTATAAGAGACGGCCATTGGACCGCTTAAATTCAGTACTAAGCTCTTTTCAAGAATAGTTTATCGAAAAGACCGTCCTATTGAAAGAGACCGTTTTGTGGCCGTCCTATAGCCGTCCCCGTCTATATTTTTAAAACAGGCTTATTAATAAGCTCGTTTTAAAAAATTGAAATAGTTCGATGATTATTTTGAAGAAGATATAGTCATAGATAAAAATTATTTTTTAAATAAAATTGTTTTAATAATAATTTAAGAAGTTCGACGCTAAGATATTTCTCGGTATCGCTGCTACGGCTTGTATATCAACGCTTTAATTTTTTTATACTCGAAATCGATCGATTCAGCAAAAGTCTACCCGCTCACGACGACCGCCTTGACAGCCATTGCATGATAAGGGGGGGGGGGTGGTTCAGGTAGTAAAGGGTAGGCCAGCAAGCAACAGAAAAAGTATTTGCTTACTAATTCACGTTCTCAGGGGCGGTTTTAAGCTCAGGGACGGGCCATAGGACGGCCATAGGACGGTCTTAAAACGCTCGAAGACGGTCCTAAAACGGTTTTTATACGAAAAGACGAGTATTTAAAAAAGACGATTTAATCGAATAAAATAGTTTTACTTTAGCTACGATTTAAATAATTTAAATCGTTTTTGTTTTCAAATTCTATTTAATCTTAAGAATCGGCCTAAAGTGATCTACTAGCCATGCTAACTTATTAAAATCGTCCCTAAAAGAGATGGTTATCGGACGATCAGCTGACCGTCTAAATGCTCTTGCATTCCCCTTTAAGGTAATGTACTGGCTGTATTAATTAAGTAAGGTAATAAAAATAGTACCTTTTGCTACTGTATACTTCTTCATGATATAAGTACGTGCGCTAACTAAGCGAACCCGGCTGCGATGCAAAGGTTGCAGCAGCCTATTCTACTAAGCGTATACTACGTATATCAGATCTGTCGTGTACATATTAGAATAAGCGATGCATGCGAAAAGCAAACTTTTATCAAAAACCATTAAGGATACATTTTCATACCATCAACTTCTAATTTAATAGTTATTTCATTTCATGACCTAATACATTCGATTATTTTCTATCGATCTATAAAATGGGATTTCTTTTAATCAAAGTTGTGGTTGTTGAGATATTTAAACGGACAAGTGAATTTGGTCATATAGAAAAGGGGGGGGGAGGGGGGGGTGGGAATGGGTTTTTTCCCTTTTTTTTTCAAAGAAAAAAAAATTGCTAAAAGTAGTTGCATCTTTATATCTACGATGCACGTTTATGTAGCAATGGTTTCTGAGCATGTGGATATCATTTTCTACGGCTTACTACGTATATTAGTAGTTGTAGTTTAATAAGTGTTTTGATGTAAGTATCCAGGGCCCCTTGTGAAGTCAACATTGAATTTCAAGGCCACAGAAAATTACTTGAAATATTTCATTCCCGGAATTATTCATATATGTATATATTTATACATTTATATTTAACAGCTTCAGGAGAGGAGAGAAGAGATATGAAATGGCATTCAGTCAAAGTGCGGAGTGCTGTTATTGGTTTTAAAGCGACTTGGACCTGTTCACGATATAAGGCGGATCAGTGGCAAAGCTAGATAGTGACGGAGGAGGAGAATCAGATCGATAGAGTGAGGGGTTTGTGAGTTGTTATAGGGCGAGTTGGGTTCCGTCACCTGGGAATGGTGCTGCTAGTAGGTACATGTCCCGTGCATAGATAGATGCGTTCCTGTTATGGTGGTTCATGGCTGAAGGAGGTGTGGGATCTATACTAGGGGGCGATGACAAGATATAAGTTTTGCTGTCCTGTACATAGTTGAAGGATGCATATCATTAGCATCGTAATGTAATTAGTGAAAGCGTGTCGGTCAATATCGTGTTATCAGATTCGGCGCTCTGCCAAAGATTCACCATCTTCTTATTACCTTACTCCGCAACTGTATCTACAACATCTTACAAACAAATCACAGTGCGAGTAAGTGCATGGCCAATAAGTACTATCTATATACCCATCACCTAAACCACCAGTTAACCGAGCCCGTAACATCACCCCCCTCACTCATAAAGCTATGCCACCATCCCTTCGGAATAAATAACGCATCTCCGGGCCTCACAACAGCCTCAAAGCCCTCTTCTTCAAGAACATCCATATCACGCTCGCTTGTCACCCCTCCTCTGTGAACGCAATCTCCCCAGACAGCCACCTGCAACAAATCGCTCTCCGGCCCTTCCATCATCTCCTCCCCCCTCATCGACGCACTGCCCCCTCCTCTCCCCACACCCACCATCTGCCTGACCTTCCGGAAGATACGATCCCCGACCTGCGGTCTAAAGACCCGCACCCGTTTCCGAGACGCGAGCTGCACGAAGAGGTTGGGGTTGGGATCGCGGTGCAGCGGGGTATACGTCGGCGGGATGCCAAGCCAGATATTGCTGTCATACACATCGCCTTTTCCTGCCTTGAGCACGAGATGGGGCGTTGGAAGGTCAGCCCTTAACGCGGGCGGGAGGTCGATGACTTGGGCTTGCGCGATGTACAGAGCTGGGGGCCAGGGGACAGGCGTAATGCATGCGGCGTGCAGGAAGAGGGAAAGGGGCGCGGTGAAGCGATGGAAGGTTATCCCACTCGATTGCTGAAGCTGTTTCTCAAGCCATGCGCTGATGAGGCGGGAGCTTTTGTGGGGAGGGGTGTCGGTGATGACGGGACTTGCGGTTACGAGCTCGTAGGGCAGGACGGTGTCGCCGAATTGGGAGAGGTACGGTTGATTCAGGACTGTTCGCCGGGAGTTTTGTGGGAATTGGTCACCATGGCTGGCTCTTTCATGCGTAAACCACTTGTCTGCCGCTGGTATAGAGTGCGGTGGTGCTTCTATATCTGGTCTTAGTGCATTGGGTGCGGCTATCAGGAGGGGTTGCTGAGCATCGAAGGCTTTCTCGCGGAATTCTTTGACGTCGACGGAGGCAAGTGGCCCGGAGATAGTATGAACGGGTGTAAGGCCATGGTGGGAGCTGTAAAACCGTCGGATGTGTCGAGACCCTCCCGTGACGTTTGTTGTTATTCGGATCATGACGTTTTGTGTTTTTAAGCTCGAGATGCAGGTTTGCCGACAAGGTTTCTGGGGCTCGGCTGAAGGCCTGGATCGACATGGCGACCAAGCTTCTACCCCGATTCCGTTAAGAAACCTTGACTCTTCCCACGTTCTTTCAATTGATCATTCTTATATATACTCAAGTTGACAGTAAGTTAAAATAAAACTCGCAGCCTCATTTTTTCTCGAAGAACCATATTCTGAATTCTCGACACAAGTGGTTTACCTCCGAGCTGGGCTTGATTTGCATTACTCTTGTTTTCGCGAATCGAGTTATTACTCTACTCTGTAAATACATCTACACAACTACAGCAGGCGCTAATTCCCAACTCGCGGTTTCGAAGAATATGGTTGAAATATGGGGAGAGTCTTTCAATTCGGTCGGCTAAGAGCCGATCGGGGAATCCACATGGCTTGCACCAACTGAGAACCACCTAAATACTCCACTCCATTCTCCTGAATTAACAGTAATAAAAGGATAGCTGATACGAACGATTTGCAGGTAGGAGTAAGCAAATATCACTGCTCTCAGCTGCTTCTCGTGAAGTAGCTCTAGGGTATGCCTTTCGTATAATGGCGCCCGATCTCTAACGGCTTTAAGTGATGCTCGAGAACTCCAAGCGATCTTGTAAGATATCTTGGTTGTTGACTACTGGATATGGAGGCTCGAAACAAGCACTGAGTCCGGTCACTGTGCGCAGGAAATACTAGCCCCGGCAAACCTTCCATTTCAAGTGCCTCGGCATCCCCGTCATGATTCATATCCGTCCCAAAATGTGGGGAGAAGTCTGGAGTAGCATCGGAATGTCTAAGGTTGTATCACCTGTACTTCGTAATGATAGATAAGCCCGGGTCCCACGCAGCTCGAGCTGTCAACCTCTCTTCTCTCCGCACTGGAGTGAAGCTTCCATCCAATATAGACGATTCAGCAATTAAAGGTTGCTCGACATGTCTCGGTTCTTGGAAGACCGTCCGAAAGTTGTGAGTCTACTACTATCCTGCCTCTTTATTTCTCTTGCTTATATTGCCTGAAACATTTTTCGATGATGGCCTAATAAGGATTGTGTTTTCAAGATTTACGGGAACTCGATACGCAAGGATAACGGCTATGATGTCAACTCATACACTTACTATCCTGTGGCGATCATTGGAGCGGGCGAGAGCGGTATTGCTATGGGGTGTAGATTGAAGCAGGTTCTTGGCTGTGATCAATTCCGAATCTTCGACCGACAGAGTGGCATTGGTGGGACTTGGTGGATCAATCGATACCCGGGCGTGGCGTGTGATGTGTAAGTGAATCCAGACCGTCTTCCAAAGTCCGAATCACTACTGACAAAGATTTGGAATGCAGACCTGCGGTCTTCTACTCCTTCTCTTTCTGCCCGAACTCAAAATGGAGTGCACTCTACCCCGAAGGACCAGAAATTGTAAAGTACTTGCAAGGCGTTTGCGATACGTACCAGATCGTGGACAAGATACAGCTCAACACAGATGTCAGAGAGTGTCGCTGGCTGGAAACAGAGCAAGTCTGGGAAGTCAAACTCCAGCACCTTATGACAGGAGTTGGCGACCTTTCAGAGTATGACCGAGCGAAGAAGATCCAGGAGCATGGTAGAGAAACCGTCTATGTGTCCCAGGAGAAGATAAGGTGCAAGGTGCTGGTGAGCGGTGTTGGCGGACTCGTGGAGCCAAAGACGTGGCCTGAGAACATCCCTGGCAACGAAAACTTCGAGGGCGAGATCTTCCATTCTGCTAGATGGAGATATGATATAGATTTCAGGGACAAGGATGTGATTGTGCTTGGTACTGGATGTAGTGCTGCACAGTTCGTCCCTCGTTTGACCAAGGAGTACGGGGCAAAGTCAGTTACCCAATTGATGCGATCGCCCCCATGGGTGGTTCCGCGAATCGTTCCTCCGGGTGGTAATGAAGCATGGGGGAAGTGGTCACCACGGTTGACCACATATGTCCCAGGATTCGGCAAAATGATAAGATTCATAGTGGCATGTGCAGCAGAGTACGATTGGAGGCTGTTCGGGTCAGACTCATACCACGAGAAGGAACGGAGGAAAGTGGAAACTCGGCTTCTCGCCCACATGAGGAAGACAGTACCTGAAAAGTACCACGAGATACTAACACCGAACTACGGAGTTGGCTGTAAGCGCCGCATATTCGACGCTGCTTGGCTTCCTAGTCTCAATGATCCGGCGATTGAGTTGACAACGCTTCCGCTTCGCAGCATCGGGGAAAAGACTGTTACGCTGGGACCCGGCCGTTCGTATCCTGACATGAGCGTAACGACTAGCAATGCTCCATCACATGAGCTGACTACCCCAGCCGATATCATCATTCTTGCAAATGGGTTTGAAACCACCAAATGGCTTCACCCTCTCGATGTCACCGGTCGTGACGGCAAGAAGCTTCACGATGTATTCGACGAGAGAGGTGGCGCACAGATGTACATGGGTACAGCCATGGACGGATTTCCCAACTTCTTCACAATCGTATGTGGTTTCCGTCGTTTAAATTCAGTTCTGACTTTGTTGAGTTTCTTCCATTTCCCCAACGAGTAAACACAGTTCATGGTTAACCGTCTCTAGTTCGGGCCAAATACAGCAACAGGTCACTCCTCTGTCGTGCTAGCTTCCGAGAACATGGTCAACATGAGCTTAAAGTTCATCGGACCGATCCTGAACGGAGACGTCTCGACTGCAGAAATCAAGAAAAGTGCAGAGCTCGAATGGGCAAGAGACACGCAGAGCGCATTGAAAAAACGAATCTGGACAACGGGAGGTTGCGGGAGTTGGTACAAAGATGAGAAAGGCTGGAATTCGACTGTCTATCCGTACGCCATGTCGCAAATTCCTCGCTTACGAATGCTGACTTGAGTAAAGGTATACCCAAATACGGTTCACCCTCAGGTGTATGTTCCCAACTTGGAGCGATTGGGATATCAAGTATACGCGCAAAGCGATCTTCAAAAAATATGCTAAGAGGGTTTTGAAAGCTTTTATTTTCTTGGCCTTGCTCTCTGGTTTTTCCCAGCAGAAGCAGAATGGTCTCGGGCTGAAGACGTATTTGAGGGGAGTAGCCAGAAGTTTGATCTTCGGGGGGGCTGGTTTGTTGCAAGTTGCGGGCAGCAAACTATGATCGAGACAGTTTGTGGAAATTCGAATCTTCCCCGAACGATATCCGATTATTTGATGCGTCGTGATAATAGAGGTTCAAGTTCTCAGATTCTCAAATTACGAAGGATGATTCAAAGAGATTGCACGATCAGAGTTCGAAAAGCTCTTTCAATACCAAAAAATGACCAATTGTACAATAGATGTATCTCAGAGCGCTGATCAAGTATGGGACAGAGTGAGCAAGTGAACATGAGAAAGCATCGAAGCGGGATGTCATACTAGTGGAAGAATAGTTTAGCCGAGTCCCGATGTTCCCCGCCAAAATTTCAATAAGAATCAGCCTCGACCTTCAAGAAACTCCCCTCCCCCAACAATCAGACACGGCCAAACCTCCCACAACAAAACTACAACAACATCAACAATCCGAAACCACAAATAAACCTCTACCAAACAAAACAAACATGTCTCGTGAAGCCTACCAAGTTCCCACGGCAGTGCCCACCCCAGGCCGCGATGCCTACGGCGGTGGTCTCGAAGGCCAAGGCCACGGCCCAGCCATCCTCTACACGTGCGGCGACTGCAGCGCGAAGGTGCCTCTCAAGAGAGGTGACCCCATTCGTTGCAAGGAGTGTGGACATCGTGTTCTCTACAAGGAGCGGACGAAGAGGTAGGTTTGGGGTGTGCGTCGGAGCCAGGAAGGAGCATGGGCTAACTCTGGGCTTAGAATGGTTCAGTTCGAGGCGAGATGATCTGAGAGGATCGGAGGGGGATGGTGTTGCTACGATAGGGATGGACGAGGGAGGGACGAGTGCGGCGGGCTTAGGATTTCGGGCATAGCTGGGGCGTACGGGGTTTCTCCACATGGTGATCATGAGCAAGGGACAATCCGGAATTCTATTCAGAACGAAGTCAATCCATGTCCTGATTGACAATCTGAAAAAATAATTAATATCCATTCGCCTGGTATCAAAAAGCGCTTCTGCAAATGCCACCATCCAACGCCATATTATTTTCCCTCCCTGTCTGGTCTCTATCCCATGTTCATTTGGCTGGTGCGAAGGTATCTGGTAAAGCTGTGGTCGTCGTTGGTCGGCGGTCCTCCAGTTTCATCTTCCAAAGCTTGCTTATACCTCGACGTTAAGCCTTCTCCGTCATCGCCCTCGTCTTCTCCAGAATCCTCCATGTCACTCAAGGTATCCATGTCGGGGTTTGCTGAAGATGACTTCTTTGTAGAAGGCTCCCCAGAGACATCCATATCCCTCATCAGCTTGCCCAATTCTTTCTCCCGGTTCTCCTTCTTCTCTTCTTCTCTCAGCTTTATCCTCCGCTCTAATTCGGGCTTGTAGTCTTGCTCGAACTCTTTAGTCTTGTCTCCCACTGCTTCAAAGAACTCGTCGATACCTGCTCCGGTCATGGAACTAACACCAACCACACTCAAATGGCTGTAGAATTCCTCCAGCATCATGCTCATGCTGTTAAGCAAAGATCCCATGTAACCACTGCCACCACCCATATCACCACCCTCAACACCCCCAAAACTACCGGCGTCCTCTTCCGTTTTCAGAGCAGCCTGGAAAGCCTCAAAGTCGGTCATCCACTCCTTCGCAAACTCCGCATCCTTGACATCCGTCTTGTTGAAAACCAAAATCATGGGCAGCTTGGTCTTGTACAAGATACTGCAAGCATACAGCATATTGCTCATGAAAGTACTAGTAGATGCCGTCCGCGGAGTATCGATGATATATGCGATGACAGTTGGGAATGTAGATGCCAGAGAATCCAACAGAATGGCTCCCGAGGCACTCCATACGAAGACTTCGATTTGGCCGGGAGTGTCTACCAAGATGTTCTTTATGGGTTTTGCGTCTGGCTTTGCGGGATCAGGAGATGTACGCTTTTCCAGGAGTCCGAGAATTTGATCTATCTTTGTGGCGAAGAGGTTGAGAGAAGTGATGATTCCACCATTGGGTCCAAGATTGTATGACTTCATGACCTCTTTATAGTTGACCGAATCGCGGATATCGATGTTACTGTCGAATGGAACATTGCGAACTGCGGGATCGAGATTGATGACATATGGAGGTTCTTTTTTTGCGTGAAGATGGGAGTTTATGCGTTGCTATAGATGTACGTATCAGTGTCCGTCTTCAAAAATATCCGGAGGCGGAGGAGCGTCTTGTGAGAAGAGCAGGGTGAGAGAGCGATAGTACCATAAAAGTAGTTTTCCCTGAGCCTGTGAACGCCTTCGTCAGTAGAGATCAAAATATAATTTGCAATGGCAAACAGAGCTTCCAAGATCACAGCACTTACCGGCCATACCGACGCAGACGATGACCGTCGGCGGAGAGGCAGATGGAGCTTGGGTAGAAGCCATCTTGAATGTGGAGAGTTGAGGTCTTGAATTTAGTTGTGCCGAATCGAAAGGAAGATATTGGTGGGGTCGACAACCTCGAGGTGGGCTGTTGAAATTTCGAAGGTCCAAGCTTAACTAGCTCCCGAGGCTTTCTACCGACCCTTCGCTTCTCGCAAACAAGAAACCGATCAACACAAACAAAATGGACGGACTCGACGAATTTGAGAAAGCCCTTGCGGAGGAGAAGAAGGCTAGGGAGAGGGAAGAAAAGCACAGTAACCGAGACAAGGAAGGGAAACATAGACATCACCATCGATCCGGCCATAAATCTCGCGATAGGCAAGACCACGACCGACGCAAGGACGAGCATAGGCACAAGAGATCGCGAAAGTCAAGGGATGAAGAGGATGAGGGCGAGAGGAGGAGCTCTAAGCATCCAAAGACTACAGATCCTCACGAGGCTCTGCCAACCCCAGATGATGAGGTTCCGAACAAAGCACCGAAAGCAACACGCGATTCGTGGATGGAAGATCCCTCAGCTATGGATTTCGATTACACACAGAAAGGAATCAAAAAAGTAGTCAAGGCGCCGCCTCCGAAGGCTGATTACGATTTAAAAATTCATAAAAATGAGCTTAATACACAGCTTCAGGATCTGGCAGAGGGAAAGAAGTTGGAGAACATTGAGGTGGACGAAGTGGAGTACACGTTTGGCGACGCAGGGGCGCAATGGCGCATGTCGAAGCTTAAAAATGTATACACACAGGCAGAGACAAGTGGGAGATCTGTTGACGAGATCGCTGCGGAACGTTTTGGGAGTTTGAAAGAGTTTGATGATGCTAGGGAAGAGAAGACTGAGCTGGATCGTCGACGGACTTACGGGGAGGGCTACATCGGCAAGGAAAAGCCGAGTGGAGACTTATTTCAGGAGCGGAAGATGGAAATGAGCATTCGAAGGGGCACTGTGGATGGACACGATGAGCCAAAAGACTTGCCACAGGGGACGATTATGCCTGAAAAGCCACCACCTAGATCTACTGTTGTCTTAGACCAGACTACCTTGAATCGCATGAAGGCCCAACTCATGAAAGCGAAGCTCAAGAAAAATCCGGATGCGGAGCGGCTTCAGAAGGAGTACGATGAAGCTATGTCAAATTTCTCCCAAGATACTTCAGACGGCGTAGTAGTGTTAGGGATGATGGACAACCGAATGTTAGCAGGTACTCGTGGCGAGGTCAAATCAATCGATAACAAGCGAGGCCGAGAGAGAGGACTCGTTGAGGAGAACGAAGACATGAGCATTGAGGATATGGTCCGCGAAGAGCGTAGAACCAGAGGGCAGGCTGGTGGAGATGGCATGAGAGCGGCCGAGAGAATCGCCAAAGACGCCAAATTTGACACCGGTCTCGACTACATGGACGACAACGCCAACAAGCTCGCCAGGCGAGTACAGAAGTCAGAAACGAACCTGAAGAACACGGCAGTCAGCGAGTTCCAGAAAATGAACAAGATCTTGGATTCCTGCCAACTCTGTCACCAGGAAGACAAGAACCAGGCCCCAGTCGCTCCACTTATATCGTTAGGCACGCGGGTATTTCTAACTCTACCGACCGAGCCGGAGCTCAGCGAAGGGGGTGCAGTCATTGTGCCCATCCAACATCGGACGAACCTCTTGGAGTGCGACGACGATGAGTGGGAGGAGATCCGCAACTTCATGAAGAGCCTGACTCGCATGTACCACGACCAAGGCCGCGACGTCGTGTTCTACGAGAACGCCGCTGCGCCGCACCGAAGGATGCACGCTGCCATGCAGGTGGTGCCGTTGCCTTACAGCCTCGGCGAGACGGCACCCGCCTTCTTCAAAGAAGCGATCTTGTCATCTGATGAGGAGTGGACACAGCACAAGAAGCTGATCGACACCGCTGCGCGAGCACGAGAGGGTTTGGGCAAATCAGCTTTTCGAAGGACACTGGCCAAGGAGATGCCTTATTTCCACGTGTGGTTCAACCTGGATGGTGGGCTGGGCCATGTCGTGGAGGATTCGAACCGGTGGCCGAGGGGTGATTTGTTTGCGAGGGAGATTATTGGTGGCATGCTCGATATTGAACCGGATGTTGTCAAGAGGCAGGGGAGGTGGTCGAGAGGGGACAGGAGACTTGATGGGTTCCGGGCGCGCTGGAGGAAGTTTGACTGGACTCGAGTTCTCACAGATGGATAGGGTAGAATGCGAAGGGAATGCAGACGTGGGCTTACCTCTCTCGAGTCCTGGATTAGTCCGCAAATGGCTCTTTCAGCCCAGTTTCTGCAAAATGTTTCCGCAAAAAGCACTGGGTTTCAAAACAGAGCTCCAGCTGGAAATTTCCCGAGGAATCCGAGCTTCTCTGCAAATGTTCGACGACTAATTCCTCCAATTATAATGAAAATCAAGCCCGTCATCCTCTCTCGTAACATAGCCACCCGAAAACCTTTCCTTTGAGCCGCGGAACCGGTCGGTCGTCCAGATTCCTGCAAAGGCGTCACGTAAAAGCAAGCACTCCCACCACGAGACATCACTGTCCATGGCTTACCTCGCTGTAGTCAGGAGAGCCCCACCGTGTCGACGCAGACTCGACCTGCAATCCTCATTCCACAGCGGGCGAAAGTATACTTCGATTGGCATATTGGCATGTTGAGTCGGCTATGTAGAGTAGAGTAGAGAAGAGTAGAGTAGCTTCGATGTACACACATATAGATAAGTAAGCTACGGATGTATATATACATACATACATATATATATATAAGCGATCTCATGCGAAGAGAGTAGGTAGGTAGGTAGGCAGGTATCAGTAGTAGCTGGGCGGGAATTGGGTCTTTCCTACCGGCCGCTGCCTGTCAATAGATGTCAATAGTGTATAGTAACATAAGCTAGCAATCAGATGTATGTATTTGAGACCGAGCCAGGTTGATTCCCGTTTCGGTGATTCGAGACCCGCGAGGTAGAAGTGAAGCATCTCCTGCCTCGAAGTTTTCCATTGGATGCGATGCGGGGTGGCAGAATGAAAGTATGAATGAATGAATGGGTGTATGAATGAATGGATGAACGAATGAACGAATGAATGAACGATCGATCTGGCATGAGAAAGAAAGGCATTCTCTGTTCTGGAGAGCGATGGGCGAGAGCGGGAGAGGGAGCAATAGAGTACGAGTTCAGCTTTGCTGGGTTGGCTGCTGCAGAAGGATGAGTTCTTGTGTGCGATCTGGAGGATCTGGAGTCGATAGGCGGTGCTGGGTTGGGACGCTCGCTTGTAATTAAGGTTGTTTCTATTTTTTTAGTGACGGGTAAAGCCTTCTTGATACGAAACGGTTGGATGGGAGGGGAGGGGCGGAAGCAAAAGGGTCTGTGTGGAAGAGGGATTGTTTGTTGACTTTGAGGTCGGAATGAAGTGGTAGGTGAGCTGAACAGCTTGCGCGAGGCGGTGCTCAGAGTCACGGGTAGTCCGTAGGTATGGATACCGGCAGTAAGTGAGGCACGTAGAGTATATTCTGTGCTGTAGAGGGCGTGTATGTTGTATCAACGGGATCAATCGTCTTGAGTTTGTTTCAGGGATCTAGGCGATCGGGATGAGTCCTCGCTACCCCTGAAGTTCGCTTTGGAGGCGAGCTGCAGTGGTGAAGCGATGAGCACCATGGGTAATATTATTATCATCTATGGCTTTACAGTAACGGGCTCTGCTTGTTTTGCCGGGCGGATTGGTGGCGGTATGTTCGGGTTCGATTCTGAATATTGAGGTACTACTTCTCCCATGTCACCATTAATCCAGTTCGATTCAATCCAAGCCGTGCCGTGCCGTGCCATGCCAATGCCAATGCCAATGCCGATGCCTGTGCCTGTGCCTGTGCCTGCGAAGATGTTCTTCGGAAAGATTAATGCTCCATGTTCTTCGGACGTTCCATCGCTTATTACGGGAGGGATCCAGGCGAGAAACGGATGCCAGGTCCGTGTGGCCCTCCCTGCCCTGTTGACTTTCTCTTAGGCGAAGCAGAAGCAGCAGCAGAAGTATCGGTAGGAGAAGGAGAAGAAGACGGAGAAGAAGAAGCTGGTATCCAACCCGCAGCCGCTCACCTTTGCACGTACGGGGGAAGGATGGCCCCTAAAGAAGATGGAATATTTTTTAGAGGTGCGTGCATGAGCACGTGCAGCTTCCACCGACTTCCAAGCGCTAGTCCCGATTCCGCCTGATTGAAATAATTTTGCTCAACTAGCTACCGGATGCCTTTGCCTTGCCTTTTTTTTCTGCCGACCTTATTAAATCTCCACCGCACACACCGCACACACCCACCACACACCACCCACCACTCACCACTCACCACTCACATCCCTCCCTTTCTCCACCACCTGCGAACACCGAACACCGGCGATTTCTCGCCTCGACTCGCTTCTGCACATCAAGGGGAAGCGATATCAGGAAGCCTCGAAAATTACGCGACTGTGAGATACATCAATAATCCTCCAAGTTCACGCCCTCGTGCTGTCCCGTCGGACCTGGACGTGGACGCGGACGCAATCACAATCTCTGGTGCGCGCGGTCATCGAGTTCCTCGAGTATTCACCGGTCAGTGTCAGCGTCACTCATAGCGCCGCAGCAGATTCAAAACCAATCCATCTCTCCCATCCCTCATCCCCCATCAACACCACCAAAACTCCCCCCCCCCCCCTCCACCCCCATCCCAACCCGCACAATAAATATGTCGGGCATTCAACAAGTACAAGTACAGCATCAGCAGCCAGCAAGCCAACCTGAAGGTCAAGGTCAAGGTGCAAATCAAACTCACGGTCAAGGAGCTCCAACTCGGCCTGCCAATTACCCAAGTCCAACTTACTCGTCTCCCTCGCTCGCCCCAGCGCAGCAATACGCCTACCCTCAACCTCCTCCCCAAGACCCCGACCAGCAACAATACCGCACCAGCCCGACAGGCAGCAACGGCTCCATGTCCCTCCCCGGTATCCGATCAATTGATCCTATGCAACCGCCGCCACCACAGCAGCAGCAACAGCACAACATGGCGAACCTCCAGCAACAAGTCCCGATGGGCAACCCTTATTATCACCATCAAGGCTCCGCCCTCCCACACCCCCAACACTCACAATATGCCAACGTTACCTCCGATCCATCAGGACAAGGAATGCGCTATGCGCTGCCTACATCCGGCGACTCGCGCATCATGAGCGGTGGTCGACACAAGAAGGTGAGGCGTTCCGGGATTGCGACCGGGCGCCATTTCGATTCTGGCAGTACTGACGTGTGCATATCATATAGGAGATCAAGCGTCGAACCAAGACGGGCTGTCTGACGTGCCGCAAGCGCCGAATCAAGGTTAGTCCAGGGTGTTTTTTTCTTTTCGTTTCTCGCGGTCGCGTTTCTCGATGGTTGGGGATGCGGGACGACGTTGCGCCCCCGTTTCTCCAAAGCGAAAAAGCCCTTCTCGTTAAACATCAAGCGAGTTGGTCTAAGTAGGCGAGCTGCTCACGAGTGCTCGTTTGCTCAAACCCACCTGGCCTCGATCGCTCGACTGCCGAATTTCACCCTTCACATCACTCACATCTAATATTAACATCATCTCCCTTCCCCTCTCTACCAACCTCGTTCGTTGTCGATCCATGTCGTGATTGCTCTATCTCGATATTTTTACTGACCATTACTTTCTCACCAGTGCGACGAACAACACCCGGCTTGCCGCAACTGCCAAAAGTCTAAGCGTGAGTGCCTTGGCTACGACCCCATCTTTAAGCAGAGCCCAGGTCCCGCTGCCATCCAACCCGCCCCAAGTTCTGGTTCTTCTATGGGTGGCAGTCCCGCTAGCTCCAACCCGTACGGCAACCAACCTCATATGCTCCAAGGCTACGGTGCTCACCCCAACATGCCCGCCTACGATCCTGCTCTCTCGTCCGGTGTCCCCCAAGCTCCCAATCAATACGACTACGCTTCCGCCATCGACCCATCGCTGTCCGAGGCTGCTGCACCCCCAGCAATGAACAGAATCATACCCGCATATGAGACTACTTCTCCAGGTATGTGTATATAAACCCGAGGGAATTCAAGAGACGGAGCCGTCACCTCAGCCACCGGTGGTGCGGCCAAGGTGCTGCTGCACTTTGAGAGTCCCCTACTTCGCACCCTTTCACACTCCGGTGACACCCTGACTAATTCAATTTTTCCAGCCAAGCGAACTGTTGAGCAACTTCTTGATCTCGGTGGTGAAGCTCCTCCCAAGGGAGGTCCCGACGTCGCCGGCAACCCCCAGCTCATCGATGAGATTAAGCACCTGTACTTCAGCATCTATGCACCTGGTCTTGAGAACTTCCTCGAGTCAAAGTGGTTCTCCGTCAAGGGACTCACGAAGCTTCTTACTGGCCGAAAATATCTTGATGACTTCGGTTCTCTTCTCGTCCAATTTGCCAAGACGCAACAAGATGACCCTAAGGAGATCGCATACACTTCGAGCGTTGAAGGTCGAGTCGTCTGGTCTCTAGCTACAATGGTCAAGACCAGTGCCGCCGAAAACGGTGTCAGAGAGCATAAGACTGTCCCCGCCTCTGATGATGCCAACGAAGCCGGCGACCGCCTGGACATCTTCGAGACGCTCTTGACTGGCCGTGTCGCTGCTGGCAACCCACTCACCCGCCCGGTTCCTCTCAGCACCGATCACCACCGCCTTCGTGAGTTGCAGTTCTGGTACACCCTCGGTACCTTTGTTACTCTTCAATACGAGGATAATAGCTTTGCCAAGCAAGTCGATGACACCCTCTCCGCCCTCCGCAACCTCCTTGATGGACGTGAGAACCGCGATATTCTGTACTCGATTGCAGTCATCCGAGGTCTTGGCCAACGAGTCTCCGAGTATACCGAGAGCGAAACTCCTCTTCATCTCGATGAGACCGATAACAAGAGCAGGCTGCTGGTCGCCAAGAAGTTTGTCGCTGACGAGGCTGCTGGATCGGGCACCACCAACGTCATTAGACGCCTGTGTGACCTTGCCACTCGCTCATGGACCATGCCCACCCTCCCTCCTATTTCCGCACATAGCACTGCTTCTCCTGAGCCGAAGCACTAATTTCTTTCATTCCGGCGTTCATCCAAACGGAGTTCCTAGGCGTCGCATTGCATGCATGGATTTTGCTTTTTTTCTTCTCGTTCTTTATAGCATGGGAAAAAGGGCGTCAAAACGAGTCTAATTTGATTCTCTCGCAATCTTGAGGTGGCACACGTTTCTGCACGATTACAAGAGCGTACACTTGGGGTGGTTGGGAGGTACGGAAAGAGTGATTTGCCACTTTTTCTTTTCTTCGGAAGGCGTATTACGATGAGCGCCCAGATGTAATCCTAGGATGGACATACAGGATCTTTCTCGACTTGGAGTGAAGGAAGGAAGGATGGATGGATGAAGAAACAGGTCGGCTGGAGATTGGGTCTGCAGAGATGGCCTGCTTGGCTTACCTGCTGTGCACTCTAGCACACACGCCACGAACTGATAGTTCAGGAATCCCAATACAACAAATTGCAGTCTACCTTTCTCTTTTTTATTCTAATGACTACCTTTGTTTTCTTCCCGGGGGTGGGGCTCTTGTGCCATTTGTGAGGGCTTCCTTGGGTACGTAGGAGCAAAAGAGCCCCCAGGATATCGCCTCTCACTGCTCAGAGCTCTTCATAGGGTGTAGTATGCCGCCCTCAACTCGGAACTCGACTTTGCTTTCACTCCCCCAGTGCAATTGATTGATCAGCTTATCGGCTTGTTTTTTCCCACCCCCCTCCTACCTTCCGTCTGGGTTCCTGTGATCCACTGACGGCTTCCTCCGTCTCCTGGCAACAATTCTCCAGGCAGTCCACACTATTCGCTACTTGATCCATGTAGTCAATAGCTGTCTTTTCATCGCCCCCCTTCCTTCCCCCCTCTACCGAGCGCAATCTTTTAATTCAACAATCGTAATCTGCAAAGAATAGAACGTGCATGTAGCCAAATACAATCTTGTATGTTCAGGTTTCGCCTTCCGTAGTATGTACATCCACCCGGTCTAGCACACTTCCCTCGCTCCCTCTCACGCTCACATATCCTTCTGCTCGGACACGGGACTGACCAGCTTCCCCTCCTGCACCGCCATCTTCAGATTATCCAAGCACCAAACCTCCATCTTCGTTTGCGTCTCCACAGTCCAAGTCCCCATGTGCGGCAGCAGCATCACGTTCGGGTTTGCAATCAGACCGGGGTGCACCTTTGGCTCTTCCTCGTAGACATCTAGTCCGCACGACCACACCTGCCCTCCCTCTAAAGCCTTCACGAGAGCGTCTTCGTCCATGACGGCGCCTCGGGCGGTGTTGACTATCACCACGCCGGGCTTCATCAACGCAAACTCTCTCGTGGAGATGATGTGGCGGGTTTGTTTCTGGTTTTTTCGTAAGTCCTCGGGTTCCATACAGCAGCAATGCCGAGTGAGGATAAGGAAAGGAGGACGGAACTTACGTTCAAAGGCAAGTTCAGAGAGAGGACATCACTCGTCTTCAACAGCTCCTCAAAGCTCACGTACTTGGCACCTCCGCTCAGCTCCTCCGATAACTGCGTTCGGTTGTGGTACTGCGTCGACATTCCGAAGACGGCGGCCTTCTTCATCAGGTTTCGGCCGATGCCGCCCATGCCTAGGATCCCGAGGACTTTGCCTTGCGGGTCATGGCCCAAGGGGGGAGGGGTCGAGCCTTTGAAGTGGCCCTCGCGGAGGGCGAGCATTGCTGCGAGGAGGAGAAAGAGTCAGTTAAGTACACACATACATACATTACATGCCACAGACACCCTCGGGAAAGGTGCCCCAACGGGGCAAAAGATGAGAGAGTAAGCTTACAAGTATTGAATCCCCTCAACGCTCCCAGGATCAGAAACATGTTCGTATCAGCCGTTGCGTCATCCACCGCCGTTGGAACATTAGAAACCCGGATTCCCTTTGCCGTACAGGCATGTACGTCGATCTGATCGTATCCCGCACCTTTGTTCATTGCAAAGCAAACCTCGTCAGCAAGACATCCATCTATCTTTCCTGTTTCCTTCCCCACATTTCCCCCCCGCGCGACAAGTCCCTCTCCTATTCAGTCCAATGTAAAGTCCGAAAAAAAAAAAAATTCCATTCATCTAGACGTACCATTATGGCAGATGAACTTCAACCCCTTCGGCAACGCGGCGACCAGCTCCTCGTCTATCAACCCCGTGACAGTGACGCTTCCAAACGTCCTGTACGCGGCTACCGCCGCGTCGAAGGCGCCAGACTTGCATTCTTCTATGAATTCTGGGCGGGAACGCGCTTTGGGGAGGAGGACTGTGGCGATTGATTCTATGGAGGTGGACCACTGCTCGTGGGCGCTGTTTTGTTAAGAGCTGAATCAGTGACGGTACGTTCACATTGGAGGGGTGGGGGGATTATTGGGAGAGGATGGAAGGGGGGGATATGAAGGGGAGGGGGGAGGATCTGGGAGAGAGGTACTGATCGATTTTTCCAAGGAGGAGGACGGTTGGCTTGGACATGTCTTTCTTTCTTTCTTTTTTCTGTCTCTCCTTCTTCTTTTTCTTTCTTTCTTTCTTTCTTCTTCTTTTTCGGTTCGGTGCATCTGAACCGTGTGCTGCTTGTTGTTGTTTATTTTTGTTGTTGAGTTGTAGAAAGTATTCTACTTGATGGTGGGGTAAGAACTGCCCCGCGTTTGTTCTTGTTCGAGCTGGGAAGTGGCAAAGTATGCCTTGATTTAGACTAGCGAGGCAGACACAGGGCCATCAAAGCCCGAGATTGTAAATATTTACTTTACTTACTCTGTACTTCGCGAGTAAAATTACTTCATCGTGGGAGTTGACCTCGCCACTTTTGGGGGGCCCTTCTTGAGACGGTGTGGCTACCTATATATAATTGCAGAGCGATAAGTCCAGCAGAGTACAGATGAGCGAACAGCACAAAGAAGTATGCGAACGACTACAGACGCCCAGTATATTACTATGCTGTTGTTCATGGGCAATATCCCTCCAGCCTTTGAAGCAGAGAGTACTCCGTACAGTCTGGTGAATGAGACAGAGAGAGGTAACAACACTAATGATGAGCGAAGCGAGGAGTTTGCCAAGCCTATATCGTCGGCACTCTTGCGGCGTTGCCTTTCTAACTTGGAATCTTTATTGGTTTTATTTCTACATCTTTTCAATAGAAGCCAATCTCGGATCCATGATTGCACTGGCGAATATGTGATGGTCTACAGTGTAACAAAGAGCACCACTTCGATAACGCCGAGTCGTACTTAGCCTACCTTGAAAATCAAGACTTCTATTGACCGAGACCACGTTCTTTAGAGGCCGAAGCTATTACTCGCTTCCACGAAATTCCTCCACTGTCTCCAAGCCTCGCCACTCTCGATGGCCCATCGAGCTCTCCGGACGCCCTCCTTCCATCGTCCACCACCGGGGCCGCGCTCCGTGATGACCTTCCCATCGTCACCATGGCCCATATCGCTAGTATCTGCCTCACAGATACCAGAGATGACAAATAACGCTGCAGTGTTCATAAGAACAAACTCCAGAATCGGGTTGTCCGGAGCGAGTCGGTTCATAAGGAGGTCGGTCAAGATGACTGCATTCTCATGTGGCTCCTTCCCAGGTGATACGTCTTTGAGAGCGTGAGCTGGCAGGCCAAAATCAGAGGCTGATATTGTGAAACTTTGAATGTCGATATCGTTCGGGGACGCAGCCTTATCCGAATACGTGGATCGATCGACTAATCTCCAGCAGTACGTCCGACCTGCGCAACTGATCTCGTCAAGGTCCTCTTCACCGCAGACGACCATTGCCTTTCTAGCGCCGCTCATTTGCAAGGCCTCGGCAAAGACAGGCCCGATGTCTCGGCGAGCTACTCCTAGAAGACGAGCCTCGATGTTGCCTTCGACGGGGTTGGCAAGGGGGCCGAGCAGGTTAAAGATTGTTCTCCAGCCGAGCTCTTTCCGGATTGGAGCTACGTATTTCATGCCTTGGTGGAAGGCAGGTGCGTAAAGGAAAGAGTAGTTGCTCTTCTCGTAGATCTTGGAGAGTGTTTCTGGAGTGACAGCATGCAGGTTCGGGGCCGTGGGAAGAGTGGACATGAGTAGATCTGCTGATCCCGACTTTGAAGTGGAGGCTTTGTTTCCATGTTTACTCATGAGGAGTAAAGAGGAGGCCAGAATCGATGAAGTTGTGGAAATGTTGAAGGTGTGATGTGAATCGCCTCCCGTGCCAACAATATCACACTTGGATCAATCAGCAGATTTCTCTACAGAATATCAACGAAACTCACGAGGCCTCCATGATACTCTCCCTCGGATCTCCCCTGTGCCTTGACAACCTTATCCAAAGCCACCCTGTCAATCTGAGAAGCAGCTCCTCTCATAGCAGCAGCACATTTCGCAATAACATCCGCTCTCCGATCCCAGCCTGTGAAATGCAGACACGTCAAAAGTGCTCCCGTCTGAACCGGAGACAGTTGGTCTGTGAATATGTAAGAGATAGCCGAAGCGATCTCGTCCGCCGTGACATTGTTGTGGTCAGGTTCAGGCCACAATCGCTTGAGCAAAGGAGTAATTGAGATTTTTTCAGGAGAACCTGACTCTCCTTCTGAAGCCATTGTCTTGTTCCTATCTGTCAGCCGAGTCCAAATATGATAGAGACAGAAGACCGGAAGATGACGAATCGGGACTTTGTGTCCAGCTGTGGTGATTCAAAGTTGAAGACCCTGGTGAACAATGTGGAGGACGATCGCGCTAAGCCTCTTAGGAATATTACAGTAGTGGATCGGATATTTTGAGGCTTAAAAATCAACGTCCCGAATTTCTTCATCACCTATTCCGCCAGGTTAGTTACCCAATTAAAATCCCGCGTCTCGTCTCTGCATATACCTCCAGTCTTACTAACTAACATCCACCTTCAGAATGCCACCCCGAATACATCCGCCGTCAAAGGCAATTGCGTCCATCCTCCGCTCCAAACGCCCTCTAGGAATCCACCGCCAATATGCAACGGCAGCAGCAATCACCCCGGCGGCCTCTCACGAGCAGATGACTAGATCCCCCCTTCCCATAGCCCGCTACCCCTCTACGCAGCCACCTTCCTACAAGCCCCCCGAGTTCCGCAAGTCCCAGCTCCTCCGCCAGTACGCCTCCCTCCTGCGCTCCACGCCCCTCATGCTCCTCTTCCAGCACAACAACCTGAAATCGATGGAATGGGTCAGCATTCGCCGCGAACTTTCCAAAGCCCTGCAGAAAGTGGACGAGGCGCGGGTAGCGGCTGGACACCCAGCCGAGAATCTGGCGGACGGGATCAAGATCCAGATTATCCAGACGGGAATCTTTGCTGCCGCGTTGAGAGTTGTCGAGTTCTACAAGCCAGGGGAGCAACAGGCGACGCCGATTCAGGACGAGGCTGGGCTGACGCATACGTTGTCGAAGGCTGCTCATGAGGCGGTGGTGGACAGAAGGACGGCGCATGCTTTGGCACCGCTGCTGTCTGGACCGCTGATGCTATTGACGTTCCCCAATGTCTCCCCGCAGCACATGAAAGTCGCGTTGTCGATTCTCTCGCCCAGTTCACCGGACTTCAAAGCTCCAACACGGAGAGCTAATCCCGGATGGCACGATCCTGCGGTGCAGAGCGGGCTTCAAAAGTTACTTTTGCTGGGAGCTAGAGTGGAGGGCAAGGTGTTTGATGTTGAAGGTGCGAAATGGGTCGGAGGTATTGACGGTGGAATAGAAGGATTACAAGGGCAGCTTGTGGCTATGCTGCAAGCGTTTGGAGCTGGTCTTACGAATACGTTGGAGAGTGCTGGGAAGAATTTGTACGTTACCGTGGAAGGTAGACGGACTATGCTAGAGGATGAAGCGAAGGGCGTGTCCGAGCCGGCGAAGGAGGAGACGAAATCGGAATGATGGGGGAAGCCCGTGAAGGCTATGTAATATGTGTAAATCTATGGAATATGCTGAAAGTACACCTGGTACCTATCCTACATAATTCCACCTCGCCAGGCGTCCTATCTATCTCAAGTGAAATTTGGCGTTCATACCTACAATACAGCGAATGAGATCCCAGTCTCCATTCTGTCCGACCCAGTCACAAACAACGATACCAGTACTCCCATCCCCCGTCTTGCTAACTTCAGTCAAGTTGTGGTGTTTGCACAAGTACTCGATAACCGAAGGATTCACCTTCGCAGCAATTCTGTGAGGCCAGCAATTCGGTCTGAAGAAGTTGGACGCGCTTAGAAAGTTCATGAAGAATGGCTGACTTGCCGCCTCTACGGCAGCAGCATCCGCATCTCCCGGCCACGCGCACACGGTCTGCGCAGCTCTCTCCAGCTGATCCGTCGAATACGTTATTTTCTTGGTGATGTTCTCATGCTGACCAACCTCGTAGAAATCCTGTATGCGCAAGTCGCCGCTCGTACAAGTCCCATCGGCGCAGTTGTCAGGCCAGCTTTCTGCGTCTATAGCCCAGCCTCTGCCGCCCTGCTCCCCCTTCAGAGAGTCGTCAATCGCGAATCGCCGGATTAACACTACCTTTCTCCTCGTTTCGGCAAGGGTAGGAATGCGGTTCTCTGCGAACCAGCGCGAGGCGTCGTTGCTGACGTAGTGCGTATGCAGGATCTTGCTGAGCTGCTGGTCGGTCGAATTTCCTGTGCCCTCGCGCTTGAGTGATATGATGACTGTTTCGCTGGGGTGGGCGTCGAGGAAGGAGTGCACTACATTGAGCAGATCACGGAAGTACTTATTGCCAGTCAACGATACGGGGAATGCACTATGCACGAGGATGAGGCCATCTTTCGAGGGATCACCGGGGTTTTGCGGCTGCACTCTGATATCGAGGAAGCGCACCCCGTTCTCTAGCTGTTCCTTGACGCTCACCGCCTGACAGCGGACTGAGGGGAGGGCTGCATGGTGGGTGGGCGAGTTGTGTGTACCTGGGATGCTGAGCGCTGAGAGAGGTGTCTCGTCCCTGAGCGTGCTCATCCACGACTCGAGTTTGGCAGACGAGTACAGCGCCAGATGAGACGCCGATGGAAGGTAAACACCTGTGAACTCGAGGCGCGGATCGGGCGACAGCGGCGACAGAATAGTAGACCGCTGGGAGAGAATCGGTGTGTCGATCCTATACCTCTGTCCATCTGCCTCAATCGTCAACCGCAGGACCTCGTCGGCATTGGGCTGGATGTCCGTCGTCTTGCTCTCGAACGGGCCAATTGTTATCGATACGTCTTGCGTACTGAAGCTTTCAGATTTTGCAACAAGCTGGGCTGATGACGGACTCGTGCAGTTATTCATCAGCCCACTGAGGACTCTTGTGATATTTGAAGCTCCTCCTCTATTGTTAGCACTTTGGAAGCGCTCCACGACCTTCAGCTCGATTGGATTGGCGGTGACATTTCGGATTGTCAGAGGCGGGCCGGACATCCTGGGATCCAGTACAATAATAGTTTAAATCGTTGCCGGCTTGTTGTCAATGCCCGTCGGCCATGTCGACAGATTCAAAGCTTAAAATATGTCCTTGGGCCGAGGAGCTTGGACTCGGGCTCGAGCTTGGGCTCGGGCTCGGTTGTTGGGCCGACCCGAGTCAAAGCTCATGTCACCAGGCGGAATCAACACAGACAACATAACGGCAACCCGATGATATTGATCATCTAGCAAGTGCGCTGCAGGACAAGGTAATAATACCATGGTACAGGCCTAAGTATTACCCCTCGAGGGTGCCTTAAAAGTTTAGTTTCCACTTTAAACCCCCTGTTTTCCCTA